ATAACAAAAAAAACCACAAACCTGGCCATTTCCAAGGATGGTGGGTGATCCAAATTCCCTCTCCAAGGGACCTCGCTCCAATCTCTCAAACTCTCACAAGAACTCAAACAAGAAGAAGAAATTTTATCATTCAATCATTCATTAACTTTAGAAGAAGAACATAAGAGCTATAAATAGCCTCGTACAAACTGACTCAAAGGTAAAAGACGACATTTCCCTAAGGGCTTACATACGACTTCCCTTAAGCAAGGAGTAAAAACGAAAAGAAAAAAAAAATACAACATAAATAACAAATAACATAATAAAATAAATACATGAAATGACTCAAAAATACATTGACTCAATCGTGGCCCTAGATCTACTGCCACGCCACTCATATACTTTCCATGCTCTGATATCCCCATCACATCCCTTGTGCCTATTCTTTATGAGTGTCGATATGACTAGCTCTTGATGGAGATTACTCGTAAAGCCAAGGTGACAAGGAAGAGCACACGAGTCAAAGGCTTGTAGGAAAGAAAGACGGAAAGAAATTTTTCCTAAATATTACTCAACAAGGATGGCCGAGATAAGAAATAGAGAAAGATAGAGAAAAAGAGATAGAAATGTGAAGTACACGGATGACTTTAGCGTGGTTCACTCAAGTGACCAACATCCATAATGAGTTTGCCAAGGAGATTTATTGAACTCATAAAAGAATTGAGACACACGAGATCGAACCCTACATAATCAAGTATTCCTTCAGTAGAATGAAAGAAGTACAATAGAGAGGAGTAAATTAATGATATGAATGCTCTCATATCTGAGCTACTGCAGGTTCTAGGAGAAGAAAATCAAGAAGAGAAAAAGAAGAGAGGAGAAGAGCTTTGCTTATGGGTGATGTCTGAGAACAATCGAGCCCTCAGAAGTGTTCTTGGTGCCTACACAGAGAACCTAGAGTCCACCCTTCTTGGGAAAAAGCAAGCGAGAGAGAGTTCTGAAAAAGAAGAGTCTAAAGAGCTTAGAGCCAGAAGAATCCAAAGAAATTGTTTGCCTAAACTGAGGAGACATTTATAAGGAAAGAGGTATGTCCTCATGATGATTGTTGTTCCATCATTTTAAGGCAAGTTCTGACTATGGTTGAACTTCAAGACTAATGATAAACTAGGGTTATGGTCATGCATCATCTTTGGTTTGTACAAGTTTCGTTAGCAGAGGTTATGCTTTTATCTTATTGGATCAAACAAGTGACAACAATAATTATAGGTGGCAGTAAATGCTATGCCTTAATTACAGTGGGCTGAATGGGCAGTGGTAATAAATACAGTGGCGCGACAATATGAATGTTGGATCTTCGTCATTAATGCTTAAATATCCATATACTATGTTGCTTTCGATGTGTTTTCCAGGCATACAGGAATGCATGAGAAAGGAACATCATCAAACCTGAAGCATTCCTGAGCAAAGACAACAAGGTTACGGAGGCTGAAGGATTTCCCGAGCAAGTTGAGCATGCCTCCTCGGACCAAAAATGCTTCCGACAAATTCTAGAGTATTTTCACAGGAACCTCCAGACAACCCTACAAAAGTGGTTGAAAGACTTGATCTCTTGAACTACATGTTTGCCGTGTAGGGTTGAGATCGTCTTCTAAGTTGGTGCGACTTTTGGAGGCTACACTAGTGGCATCGCCCATGCCAATTCTTTACAGATAAGGAGAACACAAGTCATAAGTGCCTCAATATAATTAATAAAGAGTTCATCCTGTGGGGCTTAGGTTAACCATGTCACAATATTCGCCTTTGTTGACATGGGTGTAGATGTTCAAAAATTCCTATGTGCAAACCTTAGTAACACCATCCATATCTACCTTTCTTGGCATGGATGGAAGGTTTGTATACCCTTCATAATGGTTACGCGGAAGTGCTATAAAAAATTTTCACCTTTTTAGAAGCTGACCAAACCACCGCCCCACATAAGTGTGCCACAGGAAAGTGCTACCAAAATATCCAAGGGAACTTAAAATTATAACATTTCAAAATGAACTAAGCAAGGACCAAAAACTCACCAACTTGGCTTGAACCTTGACATAAGCTATGGCTTGGTAAAGTTGAAAAAAAAAATGTTGAGCAAAGCAAAGCTTCCCTAGCTCCTTTTGACCATAAATGGGGTAAAAAACACAAAAATTTCGTGGGAAAATAATGTTGGATGTGCCAATAAAAGCAACACATAATTAAAGACATATTTATGACTTCCCCAAAAAGAGGGAAATTTGGCCCACATATAATTAAGCAAGCCCAGAGTATAATTGCACGACCCCGAGACATATAAACCTTTGTCCATGTGTATAAATTGTGCATACCCATAGTTCATGCATGTTACACAATAACAGAAGTAGGTTCACTGCTTAAACTTATAAGATAATCTTGTCAATCAACAAAACACAAATGTATACGAAGTAATTTATGGATGAACTAAGGAAATCTATGTTTTATATGAGAGCTTTATATTCTTGAAGCACAAATCATTTTGATCTACCCCACACAGGATAAACAGTGTATGTAACATTCACCGCAATGATATTCAAGCAGAAATAATGAGTTAAGTAAATATGAGATGAGAGTAAATCTAAACTATAGAGTTCAATGGACACAACTGATATTTACATAGAGTTGGATGGACGCAACTGAAATTTACGTAATTCTACCCGATGACCTACATTCATCCTAGTCCCTAACCCGAATCAAGATTCACCATGCATGCTTATAACCACAAGCTCACTCCTTTGCTACTCGCAGATGAGAAAACCTCTTACATTGCTTCTTCAAAAATATGCATTCCCTCACCATAGTAATGGATAAGAGCATCACCTTTGAGCCAATGCTTAGCAAACTCCAGGAATCCTTCTTCCAAAGTCTTCCTTCACTACTTGCAAATGGAGATACAAAAGAATGCAAGATGATACAATATAAATACACAAATTAAAAATTACAATATTTAGAGAGAAATGTTACTTTAAACTTGTGCTCAAGTTATTAAGAGGATGAACATTTTATTACGTTCTTCTTGATACGATTAACCTTTATAGCTCAAAATGCTTTCTCTTTAATCTATGAAAATATAAGTGGAACTATTTTCTTAATAGAACAGATGATATGTTATATATAAAGGAAAACAATCAACCCAAATAGTGTACAACGCAGTGCAACACTTAGCGATGACTCAAGCCTAACCACGACCCACTAACTGTTAAGAAAATCCAATTAAACTCAAACTATATATCAAATTAACTTACAGTTTATACATATATTATAACTCTAATTATAGCCTTATTGTTTAAAAATACATTTTAATAAGTTTATAAACATAATTAATGAAATTTTCTTTATTTTAATTAGATGTTCATCATCATTGAGACATTCTAAAATAAACTATTACTCAATCATACATTTAAAAACCTAAACAGAAGAGCCGAGCTATTCTTTGAAAGCTACACTTTACCTCCTTAACATGTATAGATTCATCATATATAGCTCATCTTTAAGCTTCAAAGCCTCTAAGCAAGCACAATGGAATGATCATCATTATCATGGTTTAGCTAGCACATGTACAATATTTAGGCACTCAGCAAAGCATAAAAAGGCACCACCACAAGGTTTGTTATCATCAAATCGATAGTGAGCTACACATGAGTCAATGAGCTCATGTGGTCAACAAAACCAAGGTCCACATAGTAACCCAAGTCATATCTATGTGAGCAAGCCAACAATGTTTTTAGTAACTAACCTAAGGCCAAGATAAATACCTTTAAAAAAAGTATTCATTCTTGAAAATGCCCCTAAAACACACTTTAGCCATGCTCTTGATGGCCATGGCCCTAAGCCTTTGAGAGACTTGACCCATCTTATTGGACTGAAAACCTTGCCACCAAACTTTGTAGCAAAACCTACATTTTAGACACATTTTCCACCCTTGGTCTCTGTGTATCACCTAAAAGAAGGAATGCATTGAAAATAAAAAGAACCCAACTAAAGTCACAAAACCCAAAGTCATCTCAATCATTCCCTATCTCCCCAATGGAGCAGCAAACAAAACAAAATACAAGAAGCGATCACTAATTAAAATAGAGCCTCATAATACCCTTAGTTGATCATCATCTCCTCTAAGCGAGAAGGGTAAATAAAATCTAGAGGATTGTGCCCATAAAAAACCCCAAACAAAAAGAATAAAATCCTAAATGAGGGCAAACTATCTAAATGGTATATTATCCACTATCTAATTTGGTCAATGAAAATATATTTTTGGCTCACGCAAGAACCATTAAGTTTTGGAGCCCATAACCATATAATGCTAATCATAAAAAATTTGAAATTTTATACAGCACTAATTATATTCTAATGTATGAACATATATGGATGTTGGACTCCATATGCAACACTACTCATCTGTTAAACTCTAATACTTTTGGAGCCCATAACCATTTATTGTTTAGAGTTTCAGAAATGAGTTTGAAACCATTGATGATTCCATATTAAAACATTTCTATATGCAAACATACATCAAAAAGACAAAATAATAAACCTGGCACAGCAGAAAAAAAAAAGGTATAACAGCTACAACACAACAAAATTACAGTTTTTTATGTTATTCAATATTTTTAACACAAAAAAAAAGATTTAATACCTTATTTAATTCGTAGAAAAATCAGGAATACTTGCTACAATGAACAATAGATGCCAACTAAATATGATGTTTTCCATCACAGTAAAGTAGCATGGAAGAGCCATTAAGCAAATTCATTACAATATTATTTTTTTTACTGGTTCAAAAAAAAAAATTTGCATGTGAGAATACACACCCTGCTAGCTCCTTCCATGGCAAAGACCATGAATTGTTCTAGCATAAATGAATTAATCATACGGTATGGTTTAACCGTCAATCATTAGCCCCTTAAACACAATCCTACATGCGAAATTGACAAACAAAGATTGTTTCTGGTACCCAAAACATTATAAAACTTTACCTGTCATTCAAAAAAACGATGCTCAAGGCCATCAATAGTGAAGCAATAATGGAAAGTGGCTTCCGCAGAAATCCCATTCCTGCGTTACGAACATTAAAATCCCATATATCATCCGCAAACTAACAAGAACTTCGAACTTAAATAAAGACTAGCGGATGCCTCATAAACCTCATCCTCCCCCATCGCAGCAAGCCTTTTCTTACCAAGAATGAAGATGATCATTACAAAGTAGTTCGTCCTGTAGCTGAAACACACAAGGTAATGAAGGACATCAGTAAACAACAACCGATCTACACAACAACTTCGAAGGTAACGTCTTCGGAAACACAGAAACTAAAAAGCACGGCAGAAAGAAGCAAACAAAATAGCCATATAAAGAAACGATGAATCGCAATTTGATCCTCTCACTAGTAAAGGTTGCACTTCAATCGGCTGTTCCATTTGGAGTAAGACCTCGGGAAGGTGAATCGGGAAAAGAATTCAGAGACCGGACGAGGGGGTGAAGACCACTCGACCTCTCGAAGGGCGTCGATTAGATCCTCCGTCGTCACGTTCCCCCAATCCATCGACTACGTGATCCGCAATCAGCGAGTAGTTCTCACTCTGAATGAAAGTTTCGATCGCCGGAGGTTAATTAAATATGATCTTTAAAAACCCTAATAAGAGGGAGATGAGGGACGACTCCGACAACCGGGAAGGTATCGAGATAGAGTTCCGTAATCGACTTGGCCTCGAGGCAGGGAAAGGTGTTTACATTTTGCCGATTACAGGCATTTTTCGTCTCAACGGAACGACATACAATTACGATTAGTTGGTAAATTTACATATATGCCACTTTATAATATTCTATTTATATATTTAACATCTAAAATTTTAATATTACATGCACACCATCCTATATTATTTTAATATCAAATATACCACTCATATTCCTTTCCTATCACTCATATATAACATTTATACCACTTATATTTGATATGAAAATAAACTATGAGTAGTATGTATGTAATATTAAAATTTTAGATGTTAAATATGTAAATAGAATAGTATTAAGTGGTATGTATGTAAATCTCCTTTTAGAATTTTATTTCTACGTTTTCTCAAAAATTAATAAAATAAATTATAAATTTATGTCTGAGCCCGGGTTCGAAACGGGGACCTCTAGTGTGTGAGACTAGCGTGATAACCAACTACACCACCCAGACGATAAATTGGCTTCGGTTTGGTTATATTTTTAATTTAAATAAAAGTTAATGTAGTTCTTACGTTACGTACGAGGTACAATATTAATACACATCTAGGTACATCTAAATCCTTTATTTTAAATAAAACTTATTAGATGACTTAGTTCTTGTATTTGTAATTACATAAACTAATATCGAGAGATCATTAAGTCAACAACAACAACATCAAGCCTTTATCCCACTACGTGGGGTCGGCTATATGAATCCTTTTTCTCCATTGTGTCCTATTAAAAGTCAAATTCTCGTTTAAATCTAATAAAGAAAGGTCATTCCTAATATTTTCTAACCAAGTCTTTTTAGGTCTACCCCTACCTTTCTTAACATAAGTCAAATCTAATACCTCTACTCTCCTAACCGGGTCATCGCAAGGCCGCCGTTTTATGTGACCAAACCATCTAAGGCGACTCTCTCTCTAATCTTATCTTCTACTGAAGCTACTCCAACCTTTTCACGTATATGCTCATTTCGTATCCAATCTCTAAGGGTAAAGCCACTCATCCACCTGAGCATCCTCATCTCTGTCACACTTAACTTAGTATTATGCTTTTCTTTTAAAGGCCAACATTCGGCACCATAAAGATAAATTTAGTTCTAAATTGGTAGAAATGTTTATTTATGGTGACTGAAGGCATTGTCTTGGGGCATAAGTTTTCTAAGGAATAAAGATAGACATTGTTAAAATTCATGTCACCAAATTTTGTTAAAGGAATTAAAAGTTTTCTTGGACATACATGATTTTATGGAAGATTTATTAAGGCCTTCTCTAAAATTTCTAAACCTTTATATCATTTATTAAGAATTTATTTGTGATTTTTTTAAATAAGCATCGAATTAAAAAAAAATTAATAAGATGGTTCTCCGATGCCAATGAGAATTTGACTTTTAATAGGACACAATGGAGAAAAAGGATTCATGTAGCCGACCCCACGTAGTGGGATAAAGGCTTGATGTTGTTGTTGTTGTTGTTGTATGGTTCTCCGATGCCATACAAATAGAGAAACACTTCTCATAAAAATGTGAATATCAATTAATTTGCATTCAAATTAATAACATAAAATTTTTTAAACATGCTTTAATTTTATCAAATATGACAAACATGGATGCATCTTGTACATCATCATAACTAAAATAAATCTGATCATAAAAAATAAACCTAGGAGAATATAACATAGATCATATTATCAGACTAAATTAAATATGTAAATCCAACAACACTTTATCATGCCCAGAACAAAAAAATTTCATTACACGATAATTATTTTCTAAGACTAAAAAAATTAAAGTTTTATTAAGAATTTAAAGTTTTAAATTTAAGAATAAAAAAAAGCAAAAAGTAATTTAAATCCTTTTATATATCTTCCAATTTGAGGATTCAAAATTATAAAAAATATATATATTTATAAATTAACTATGCATGTCTAAAATGATCGGATGAAATTGGTTTATAAAATCAACACCTTACAATCCCACAAAACCCATTTGTACCTTAAGGAATTGCTCAAATGCCAACAAATTTAGAAAATTTATTATAATTAAAGCATAATAATATTCATGTTATGGTGAATACAGTTTACAATTAGGACTTATAATGACTATTGAAATAATGTTTTGTTGTTATAGGTCAAAAAATATCTTTTAAAATTTAAGAGTTATTACAATATACCCACCTTAAAATATATCGTTATTGACATTCGTAAATCAAAATAAGTTAGAAAAAACATGGATATAGCTTTCTCATATCAGACTCCTTCCCTCTTGATATATCATAAAAAAATTATATTAATCTGGCGCGAATCTCGGAGACAAATTTGAGTGGTGAGCTTCCAAAATTAAAATTGGGATCATCTAAACTCCAATTAGAACAAACTTATAGTCAAAATGAACGTATCCGAAAGATGAACCCATCAACACCAAATTCGACTCAATCCGAACCCAAATGAGTCCAAATCAAAGACCCAAAGCTCATTTAGAAGGTTCAAAACATAATTTAAATTTCCAAATGGTTTCTAAACATGATGTGCCTATAGTCGAATTGAGCGACTCGAAGAGACGAATCCAACAAGCCCAAGATGACTAAATATTGATATCATTAAGGCATTTAAATGACCATTAAACGATCCACGATCATGGGGATCAATGTCGACTGTCCATTTAAACCACTCACATTTTGACCTTAATCCTCCACATATTTACAAGCCATGACACTCTAAAAAAACTATAAATAGTCCTCATTCTTCTCATGAGAGGGAGAAGGAGAGGAAATGAGGAGGATAATGGAAGAATTTGGGAGCTTGCTTGTCATCGACTACCGCTGGACTTTCACCAGTTTGCCGACCACCGACGGACTTCCGTCGGTTCGTCGACCACCGCTAGAGTTCTTCCCAACCATCATTGGACTTTCGTTACTCCGCTAACCACCGTCGGAGTCCTTCCCTACCACCGACAAAATTATGTTAGTCCGCTGACCACCACCGGACTTCCGATATTTTGTCGACTACCACCAGACTTCTGCCCGTCCGTTGACCACCATTAGAGTTCTTCCCAACCATCACCGAACTTATGCCTGTCCGTCGACCACCATATGAGTTCTTCTTGGCCACCGACGAACTTCCGCTAGTTCGCTGACCACCGCCGGACTTCCACAAGTTCGCTGACCACCGCCAGACTTCTGCAAGTCAACTGACCCCCATCGGACTTCCGCCAATCTATCAACCACCACCAGACTTCTACCAGTTTGTTGACCACCGACGGACTTCTGCCAGTCCACTGACGACCGACGGTCTTCCGCCATTCCGCCGACTACCGTTGAACTTCTGCCATTCCGCCGACGACCGACGAACTTCTGCCAGTCCTTCAACCACCATCGAACTTCCGTCATTCTGCCGACCACTGCCAGACTTCCGCTAGTCTGCCGACCACCATCAAACCTCTATCGTCCAATGACTGCGATCTTTTCGACCACTGTCTCCCATCGACTACAATCCTTGTGACCACCGTTGTCCAATAATGGTCCTCTTAACCTTCGCCGTCTGACTACGATCCTTCCGTCCACTATCATCCGAATACCGTCCTTTCAACAACTATCATTCGACTACGATCTTTTCGACCTACATCACTCACCAACTTGGATGAACAATATAACACGAATAGTATGCTGCATGTAAAACATCATATCTTAGATCTCCATAACTAGAAAACCAAAGTTTGTTCTTATAATAGATAATACCATAAACAGATTTTATGCTTGTAGTTTAGATTTCTTATCATCTTTGATTATATCAATCAACTTTAAGTATTTTACATCTAAATTCTAAGCTTCATGAATATTTTCTTACATAACAAGTTGAATAATCATATCAGTCAACATGTCATTATCAAGATTAATAGGAGAAAGCACTTGCAATGGAAGCTTTTTCATATCCATATCAAATACTTGTCAGAAGTAAGCTAAACACAAGATAATCCATAAAATTGTATGCTCAAATCATTTTCCACTACATTAGCGTTACTAGAGTGGTAATAAATAGTTAAATCATAGTCTTTAATCAACTCAAGTTGTCTCTTTTGCCTTATATTTATATATTTCTAAGTATATACTTCAAACTTTGATTAGTAAAAATCTCACACTTAGCAACCTATAGATAGTGTCGTTATATCTTTAAAGCAAAGAATACAATAACAAGTTTTAGATCATGTGTCGGTAATTCATCTCATGTGACTTCAATTATCTAGAAGCATAAACCATCATGTTTCAATGTAGTATCAATATACATCCTAAACCTTTAAGTGAAGCATCACTCAATATACATCCTAAACCTTTAAGTGAAGCATCACAAAACACCTAAAATCCTTCTTTATCAAATAGAATAGTCAAAACTAGAGTAGAAGTTAAATGATCATTCAATATCTAAAAAATAGACTCACACTCAGGTGTCCAGATAAAAGCCATTAACTTCTAAGTCACTCTCATTAGAGAAGCAAAATCCGAGAAAATGCTTTCAATAACTTCCTATAATATTCGACCCTACAAAAAAAAAAAAAAACTACATTGCTCAAATACAATAGTTAGCCTTTGCTACTTAATAACATCTTGAATCTTCTAGAGCTCTATTGAAATATTTGCACTACGGACTACGTGCCTAAAATAAAATACTCTTCAACAAGAACTCACATTTAGAAAATTTAATATATAGTTAATGATGCCATAAAGTTTCCAAAATAATCATCAAATGTCCAACATGATCTTTCTCTGAACTTGAATAAACCATAATATCAAGTATAAAAATAATCATAAAATGATTCAAATACTCTATGAACACTATATTCATCAAATTCATGAAAATTATAGGTGCATTAGTCACCCAAAAGACATGACAAAGAACTCATAGTGCCTATTTATCGTTTTAAGAGCAATTTCATCATATTTGCTTCTCTCACCTTCACCTGTTAATATTATGATTGCAGATCAATCTTGAAAGATATAGAAGATCCATTAAGCTGTTCAAATAGATTTTCAATTTGTGGCAAAGGATATTTGTTCTTGATAATGACTTTGTTTAATTCTCTATAATCAAAACATATGCGTATTTTATCATCTTTTTTCTTCATAAATAGAATAGATGCTCCCCACATAGACACCTTAAGACCGATAAATCCCCTATCAACCAACTCCTAAATCTATACTTTAAACTCTTGAAGCTCCTCAAGTGACATCTTATACAAAGCTTTAGAAAATCAGGGTCTTACTCAAAAAATATATTAACTCAATATATATATTTGGAGACAAACTGACTAACTCAAAAGTTACTTTCAAAATTTCTTGCACTATTGAAACATCAGCAGTAGAACCCAAATCCACATTGTTATCTAAAACTAATGTCATAAATACTATAAAACCATTATTCCATAATCAATATGCTTTTACAACAGAAATAAGATAGAACAAAATATCTCAAACTCCCTAAAATAAATAAAGCTCACTATCGAGAAATAAAGTGCCTTGCTTTTTTAAACAATTAATTTAAGTCTCATATCAACTCAACAAATTCATGACCAAAATAAAATCATACTTTTAAATGGGCAATAAAATAAAACTAGACATTTACTTCTTATTAGAATTCTCAACATCATAAAAATAAACTCTACTAAATATCATAACATCTCCATTCATTAAGGTAACATATATAGAAAAAACACAATAAAACTAAAGGTACATGCAAATAAAATAAAGAAATGCTCTCAAAGAAAGGAATATCTTACTCCATAATCAAATAAAATATGACATGGGTGCACCTAAATATAAATTGTACAAATCATAACATTTGGAACATCCCAAGCCTTTTGGTGAGTCAAACAATACACATATACCTTAATTAGAGCTAGAGCAACAGAACCATTAGGCTTTCTCTGGCCACTACTAGACGACCTCCCTATCATATAACCAAAACCACTACCTCTATTGGATGAACTCATGAACTCGTAGCAAATGTATAAAGTGGATTTGTCATTGATCTCCCTACCTGTTTAACAGAACTCTTATATATGGGCTCATATCATCGGTTAAATCCTGCATGTATATGATGATCTATGAGATGATGGGTGTGGATAGCAGTGGATTTATGGTATCTTTATTATTAAAAAGGGAAAAAATTTCTCTAATACATAGCAATGAAAAAGCTCAAAAAACTTTCAAATGAATAAATAAAACATTGTAAATTCATATAAGCTCGAATACTTAGCAATGCACAACAATACCTAGCAATACATAGTGCGTATTAACAAAAATATCACATTTCTAACATAATTTTCCTAATACACAACTGTGTAAAAAATCAAAAAGCTTTTAAAATGAACAAAAAAATATTATTTATTGATATAAGCTTGAATACATATCAAAACACAATAAAATACAATGCAAAATACATAGTAATACACAATAATACGTAGTAATACACATCAAAATATATAATTATACACAACAATACAAAACAATATACAAAAATATATAATATATACACAATAACAAACAATAATACACAATGATACATAATAAAACATAGCAATCCATAATAATACACAATGATGCATAAAAAGGCACATCAATAGACAATAATACACAACAATACTTAGTAATACAAAGCTTGATATCTAGTAAAAAAGTATCAAAATACATAATAATTATTCATTAGAAAATGTATTGATGTGAACAAGCTTTGTTATCATGCAAGAAAATCAAAATAAATAAAAATATTACATAAATGAAAGAGGAAAAATACATAATAATTACATATGAGAAAATAAATGAACTTCCAAAAAATTTTCATTTTATATGAAATTCTACATAGTTAATTTATAGAAGCATGTGTTTCGTGGCATTCGATATATAAATTTTTAAAGAATATATTATAAGTTAATATGTGTGCAACATCACAAATAACACATAAACCATTTATGCACATTTTATAAATTCATCGTTGAAGATTTTAGGCTTATTTGAGAACTTGAGCTACTTTAAAGATGAAGATAATTCTATTGTATTTTTCCTATATGATAAAATTTTCTTTTGAAAATTAAGGCAAACAAAATATATATTGTCTCATAATACATATTGAAAAGGAATTATTAGGTAAGTAAATTACATCTTACTCTTAAAATTGTTCTTCTTTTTCAATGGCCCTTCGGCAATGTTCTCCAAACTAATTTTCATATTCATCATCCATTTATTTTTTATCTCAACAACTAATAAAAATTTTATTTTGCAAAAATACTAAGGGGCTGTTTGAAACAAGTGGGATTTAACTTTAATGGGATATAGTGAATCCCATAATCCAGATTTAGTAAATTACTAAATCCTGATTATGTAAAATCTTGAAAATTGTTTGTTATGACAAATGTTAAATCTTATTAAATCATGATAAACTTTTTGATAATATATTTCAAGATTTATAATAATTAGGGATTTCAATGTGCAAAAGATAATTATAAATTAAAAAAATAAATTTATAATTAAAAAATGCTATAAAATATGAATTATTTAAAATTATATTAATTAAGTTAATCAATGTTAATTACAAGTTATTCATTAATTATTATTTACACTGTTAATTATAAATTTAATCATATGTAGTTTAAGTTATCTAATTAAGCTAATTATATTAATATTTAAATTTTAATTATATTACTAATTATTCAATTACCTTAAATTATATAATTAATTTATGAACGAATTATACTATTAATTATTTAATTAATTTACATAATTATTAATTAATTTAATAACAGAGGCGTTTAGGGTTTGCCTTTCATCTTCTCTTTTCGTCGTTGCTGTCCGGCTTCGTTGCTTCGCAGTTGGTGTAGAGATTGCACGCGTGTTCGACTTCGCTCTTCGTGGCTGTTCAACTTCGCTCATTCGACGACTTTCCCTTCCTGTCGGATCGGAAGTTACGACATTTTTATCGGAAGCAACAACGGGAGCTTGCTGGCTGTGAAAGTAACTTTCTACTTTCGCGCGCTTCTTCGGCCAAATCCCATGAATCCGCCGAACCGAGCGATCTAGTAAATCCCGGATTTAAGCCGTAAATCCTTAAATCCGGGATTTACCCATCGCCGGGATTTAACGCGCTATCAAAAACCGTTTGGCTGGATTTAACGTAAATCCGACTTAAATCCCGCTGTAAATCCGATACCAAACTGCCCCAATAGGAGCTTTCACAATTTTTTTTTTAAACATAAAAATGAGGGGGTGCTTTCAAAATTTTTGCAGCATTGCATGTCTTTAAGGTAAAGCAAGAGCTTATTACTCCTTTCAAATATCATCTTCCCTGGCAGCTCGCCGTCTGTCTACGCTCGTCAGCGGCCTTCATGGATTCCACCCGAGCTTTCACGAAGGATGTCAAGCGTCTCATCATCAAAGTTGGTTCCTCTTCTTCATGCCATTCTTTCTAGTTCTGTTGGCTTCTCCCAATCTGTTGCAGTGAATTTTATACTGTTGTCAGAAATCCTAGAGTTTTAGTCAACTTTGCTTATTTTAAAGCAATCTTTTTGTTTGATTTTACTTTTTCCAAGTCTGATCGTACATTTAGTAGCAATTGGATAAGCTTGTGAAAAAAACTAGAGCCTGAGCTTAATGCTAGATCCTGACTTGCTTGCACTTTGAAAAAAAAAGCGTACATTTATCTGAATTTAGTCAGAGCGTCGTTTTTCAAGGTTTCAAGTCGCAATTGAAGCATCTTGCGTTGCTTGTAACTCATCAAAGCAACTAGTATTGCACAATTTATCTGATTTTTCATATCCAAGCCAAAAGTACTGATGTATCGCGTTCTCATTGTTTTAGTGACTAATAAGTATTTGGATCTGAAGTACTCATTTATCCGTAAGACGGTATATGATGATCTATGAGATGATGGGTGGGGATAGCAGTGGATTTATGGTATCTTTATTATTGAAAAGGGAAAAAATTCCTATTTAGCGGAATAGCCTTAAAGGAAAATAAAATGAAAAATATTGAGAAAGTGAGATGATGGAATGAACTAAGAGGAGGCAATTAAGGATAAATTAAAAGAAGGTTGTACTTCACGGTTTGAAAGTATGGTAGAAAAATAGATCTCACTGCCAAGTGCCAACTGAAGACTATATTTTAATTTCATTATCAGTCAGATTCAATTTAAACCTCAGTAAACATAGTACATATATCAGTAGGCATAATTATCTCAGTTCTAATACTACTAACCTTAAAATAATAATTTCTCAAAATGAATACAATGCGAAGAAAATTTAGGAGGGAATAAACATAATAAAGGAGAGAATCTACATAAGTACTCCCAAAATATATAGTCATCTTAAATAACAATTTCCTACATTATTTTCCTTATTTTTCTAATATCATAACAATTACTACCAAATTTCAAATGATAAATGATTTTTTTTTTTGACAATGACAATTTTCACCTAAAACGGCGGCCTTCCTATGTCCCGGTTAAGAGAGTAGAGGTATTAGATTTGACTTATGTTAAGAAAGATAGGGGTAGACCTAAAAAGACTTGGTTAGAAAATATTAGGAATGACCTTTCTTTATTAGATTTAAATGAGAAATTGATTTTTAATAGGGCGCAATGGAGAAAAAGGATTCATGTAGCCGACCCCACGTAGTGGGATAAAGGCTTGTTGTTGTTGTTGTTGTTGTTGTAATGACAATTGATAAAATGATAAATAAGGTCAAACAACTTAAAATTATTGACTAGACTTGACGGAACTTAAGATATATGATATACTCATATACCATTGAAGAAACCAAAGGTCCTTGGTTGTTGTTGAATGTTGAGCTAGTTAAATTCATCTTAGAAGGTCCAGACCAAAGGGGAATTCATGTTGAGGTGGAGGTGATGAATGACATATACATCCTAAGGAATAAGAGTGAACGGTATGGATAACATCATCATCAAAAGTATTGACGGTATAAGGCCTTTATCATATATCCTTAGCATCTCACGTTGCATCACTTTGCATTGAATCACTATGGAGTTTGACTAGCTTTCTAGTAGATTTCTAATTTTTCCTCTGCCTTATTCTAACAGGTTGGAACTGCGATTGTTACTAGAACTGATGGAAGGCTGGCCGTAGGAAGGCTAGGAATTCTTTGTGAACAGGTATAAGTCAACCGCATGAAAGAGCGAACATCAAACATTTTCCTTCTATTTTGTTCTCTGTCTTCAATGTAGTGATGGCTTTGTGTTGATGAAATGGCTTTGCTCAGGTTAAAGAATTAAATTCTCTAGGATATGAAGTAATATTGGTCACTTCTGGTGCTGTAGGTGTTGGTAGACAAAGACTGCGGTACAGAAAGCTCGTCAACAGCAGGTCTGCATGTCTTTTTTGTTTCCCTAATCTACTTTTTCAGAAGAATTTCCATTACCACTATTTTCATTAAAGATTTTAAGGAGAAGCGGTATGTATTGCAAAGAGAGTTTATATCATTGTGCAATTTTAAGGGTAAATATAGACATCACATTTACAAACCTTAGAAAGATTGTGATGGTGACGACGAAATATAAAAGATGATTTTAAACATGGGCAAATAAACTCAATATGATCAGGACATTTACTTTATCGGAAATATAAGTGATATACTCACTCTTTTTCATCAATGCATGACCTGATCCTTAAATTGATATCATTCACTTTTGTGTAGTTTTGCTGATCTTCAAAAACCACAACTAGAACTGGATGGAAAAGCCTGTGCAGCTGTTGGCCAGAGTGGTCTCATGGCGCTGTATGATGCTTTATTCAGTCAGGCAAGTGTTTGAAACATTATTGTTAATAAGATGCCCAAATTTTACTTTTTCAAAGCATTCCCTAATCAATTTAAATGCCTTCTTTCGTGGCACTAGTTCCTTGATAACTTATTATAGTTTGTGATGAATGTTTTACCGGCTGTAGGGTTTGATGTGACATCTTCCTTAGTCCCTTTTTTTAGTTTCTGATGGAAGTGTTACACTATATGCAGTTGGATGTGTCATCTTCTCAACTTCTTGTGACTGATACTGACTTTAAGGATCCAGACTTTAGGATGCAGCTTACTGAAACGGTGAAAACATTGCTATCCCTCAGAGTCGTGCCAGTTTTCAATGAGAATGATGCAATCAGTACTAGGAAAGCACCATATGAGGTATTTTCTTTATGACGTTTTCATGTGATTGTTTGATAATAGTCAACTTGTTTTATATTTGTCTAGAAGTTTTTTTTCCATAGTGATGTCATTAGCAATGAATTTCTTTTCTTTCATGGTAATCTATTACTTCTCTAGTGAATTTTGTCACAATCATTGCGTATGAGGATATCATTTGTTTTTTCATATAGGTTATTGTTGTCTGCAGATACAAAATATATTTTAGAGAATAATATATATTTTAAAAGTTATTAAAAATAAAAAAAATCTTAACATGACACAATGGAGAAATAAGATTCATGTAGCCGACCCCACATACTGAGATACAGGCTTGATGTGGTTGTTCTATCTAAAAAAATAAAATCAACACATTTGAGCTATGATGCACCGACATGGACACACTGACACTGACACAGGACATGCCATGGATAGAGGACACGTCTATCATTTAAAATATAGAACACGGGTACACTACAAACACGATTTAGAATTTTTAAATAGTGCATAGAAATTAAAAGAACATTATATTAAAAATGACAAATAAATAATAAACTAATATCATGATTACTTGTCTGGTCTATAATGTAAAAAAAACAAGCATAAAATGTCGAGTTCAACCACAAAAATATAAGAGAAAACTACTTGGTACAATATCAAGCTTCAACTACTCATTAAAAGAAATATTAGGATTGGATTTAGGGTTTTGTCTTTGGCCTTCAATATTATCATCAATGAATATCATTTCTTTTAAATATGGTTCATCAAGAGAAAGATTTGCAATCTATAACATTCCCATATCATTTAGGGTCTCAAACCCATATCCATCAATATTCCACGTCTTGTTATCACCTTTCATATAAATTGAGATCTTTCTTGATAGAAGATGAAGTTTTGTATATACATAAACTAAATTTTCACCCAATTGTGGAGTATTTTTGTTCATCTATATCGATTGAATGAATGAGTATGTATTCCAATTTCTCTCGCTAGAAGAAGATGAAACTTGACTAATTAGTTTATTGCAATTGTTGATGTAGCTGTGCTGAAGCTCTATGAATCAACCACCAAATCTTTGGATCCATTATCCATCTATAATGCAAAGATTCTTGATCACTAAATTCCTCTAAATATCAAAAGAAATTTACAAGTTATATATTAATCATTCATCCCTTTTCCTCATTTGGGAAATAACATTTCATGCATGCCTTTATCATATTTGAAACTTTATTTTTTTTTTTTGTGCAGAACCATGTTGAAGGTTCTCTTGAAGCTATTTTTTACTTGAATATATTAAAAATATAAAGAAAATAAAATCAGAGAATTACATTCAACAAATTGAGAATTAATTAAAATTTACCTTGAATTTAAAGAGTGAGCCAAGCATTTAAAGAGTGAGCCAATCATTCATCCCTTTTCCTCATTTGGGAAATAACATTTCATGCATGCCTTTATCATATTTGAAACTTATTTTTTTTTTTTTTTGTGGAGAACCATGTTGAAGGTTCTCTTGAAGCTATTTTTTACTTGAATATATTAAAAAAATAAAGAAAATAAAATCAGAGAATTACTATTCAACAAATTGAGAATTAATTAAAATTTACCTTGAATTTAAAGAGTGAGCCAAGCAATGCAGAGGTTTGTTATTTTTGTTCCACCTATCCTTAATAACAATATATGTTACCACTCCAAACACTTGGGTCTTCATCATTTAATTTTCTTTCATGTTTATATATTGCTTTTTTCAGTTTAACTAACATAGAGTTCCACATCTTATAAATCAAATGTAAGAAGAATTTATCTATGTCAGCCACTCTTACCATCTCATAAATTGGATAAGTGAAAGTCAAAATATAGTTGACATTATCCCACCATAAATCATTTAATATATTTTCTTTTACGTGAATTGCCTTTTCAATATTATCTTCTTGATAACAAGATTACTTCTTACCGATCACCATGGACTGAAGTGCATTTTTTATTTGTTTGAATTTTTGCAACATGACAATGACAAAGGCAAAACAAGTTTCAATTAAAGCTAGCATTCTCAAATTTAAGACGTCTTTAAAGATAGACAGTTTCATATGGTGATTTATGATGATATTTCTACTCAAAATATCTCATGCAATTACTGTGATCCGATGACCTTCATTATATGTGATTTCATTTATCATAATATTTTTAGCTGCATAAATATTCTTTAGAGGAAGATTGAGAGTATGTACAATTCATGGAGTTCAAAAGATGTGAGGATATATTTGATTTATAAATAGCTTTGTAGCTCTACAAACTGGTGCATTATCATTAATAGTTTGAACAACATTTAAATGCTCAATCATTATAATCATCTCTTTAATGAAATTGAAAAATGAAATATTTATCTTTGTATTGCCCTTCACTGTTGATAACTTTGATGAACATTGAATTATTCTCTGTAATAGTTATGTCATTAATGAGTTATCTTCTTTGAGGATCAATCCAACTATCATACACTATCATACCCCAAACTAACACCTTTCTCCTTCCACACTCCTTTGTAGGTTTAAGTAATTTCTCAATATTTAATCTCTCCCTCTCTAATAATTTTGATCGAATTACATTATATCCAAGTGAAACACAACCCGCAAGATTGTTATTAAATGCAAAAGTAAATGCATTCTTATAATAATGTTTTTTTGTAAGGTTGAAAGGAAGTCTAACTAAAAAGAATATTCTTGCAATTTCACTATCAAGTTGCTCTGGCATTTGCTTATTAAATGACTTCTCCAAAGAATTAGTTGCAACACCTTTTCTTCTCTTAGGTTCATATCCTTCACTCGTAAATGCACCTATATTAACATTAGTAGTAAGATCATCAACTTTAACAGAGGAGGAAATTGTGTGGCATGAACCATTAGTAGTGGGCAAAATTATCTCTTTAGGAAGAGCCCTTTTACTCCTTGATTTAGCTTCATCAACTTGTCTTTGCAATTCATTCAATTGTGAAGTATTAATCTTAGGACAAATTTTAATATCATGCCCAACAATTCTTAATAAATGTACTTTCACTCTAGAATATGATCCTTTGTAGGTGGCACCACAATAATTGCATTTGTATGCAACATTTTGTCGCAAAATGCTGGCCAATAAAAGAGAAGCATAAAATAAAGTTAAGTGTTGCAGAGATGAGGATGCTTAGGTGGATGAGTGGCTTTACTCTTACAGAAAAAATACGAAACGAGCATATACGTGAAAAGGTTGGAGTAGCTCTGTTGGCAGATAAGATTATAGAGAGTCGCCTTAGATGGTTTGGTCACATAAAACATCGACCTTGTGATGACCCGATTAGGAGAGTAGATGTATTATATTTGGCCTATGTTAAGAGTGGTAGAGGTAGACCTAAAAAGACTTGGTTATAAAATATTAGAAATGACTTTTTTTTTAAAAATTATATTTAAATGAGAATTTAACTCTTAACAAGACAATGAAAAAAATGATTCATATAGACGACCTCACGTAGTGGGATAAAGGCTTCATGTTGTTGTTGTTGTTGAATGCAACATTTACTCCACTTTAGAAGTTTTTCCCATATTCGTAACATGATTCCATAAGGGCTTATTGGCTTCTATAGAAGGCTTTGTTGAACTTTCACCACTCCCAGTTCCACCATCACTATTGTTTTTTTTTTTGCTTTTAAAGAAACTAATGGAGTGGAAGAGATAAATCTTTAACAAATTGGCTTCAACATGAGAAATACTTAAATACAATTGCACGATAATAAGCTTATGAGTAAAAAGTGTGTATTTTGTCCTTACACTTTGCTTAAAATATGTGAACATAGTTTTCTAAGTTCTCACATTTTGCTTGCATATACTCTATAGTTTAAACAAGAGTGATTTTGTCAATGGATTCTCACATTTTGCTCAAGCAACTAATTATAAAGAAACATCTATTTTAAATAGATGCTATTTAAACATTAGAACTAAATATCCTATCATTCCTATTTGGATTTTTTTGCTAGTTTTTATATTCACTTTATGAATATTCAAACTTTATTTGATAGAACAACAATATTTAGGATTCCTCTTTAAATTGATCTAGCTATGGCTTCTCACCTAAGTCATCAATTGATAGGGTTCTAATTGAGATAGATATCATTTAAAAAATTGGAAAAAGAATTACATTCACAATGTAAAATTTTATTTATACGAATTTTTATTTCGTTCACATTACAAAGGCATAAACATGAAACTATTTAATGTTTCAAATTGCAACTAAATCTTAGAAGAATCCTAAACAGACAAACGATAAGATAAAATACCCTCTAGCCTTGAAGGCTTCAACATAGTGTAGCTGCCTTCTAGCGACTTGGAATGGACCTAACCTGGGCCTGCAAAAATGAAAGCGAGGTCTTTGGTGTCGTCCTTGGAGTCCCGAACCCTACCATGCGTATGCAAAGAGATGAGCAGTTACTGTTTAGCAGGAGAAAAAATTGTAGCCTCTTACCTTTAGCACGATAGATGTAGGATTCAATCGGTGTTGTCGGTCTCGTCATATGCAGAGATCAAGAGAGAGTGAGGGATCGAGTAATTGAGATTATGTGTAGATCTTCTTATGCGTCGTCAACATCGTATGCTGTCAGCCAACAAATCGAGATAGCAAAGAGAATGAAGGAGTAAAGGGAGCAAAAGAGAGCCCTAGATGAGTCGGGCGAAGGAGTGATGGACGAAAGAAATGGTTATTCTATTATTAATAAAAAATTCATTTAATAAAACAATTGTAATAAATTATAAATTTAAAACATAAAATTTTAAATGTTTTTATAAATAAATATAAGGACATGCATGTTGGGCACTCATGTATGATTTTAATTAAATATTATTTTAATCAGACATGTTCTCACTGTGTTTGACATGTGTCCCAGTCGTTTTGGGCACGTGTTTGTATCTGATACGTGATCGACACTGTATACCTTCTTATGGGTGTGTGTCTGCGCATCATAGCACTTGGAAGTATTTTTAAGG